TGGTCTGACGGCATGGCAGGCAGAACACTTACGTTGTTGGTGGAGTGGTCAGTGTCTCTCAATATAAGCAAATCCAATGTGTGACCATGGATATGAGTTGGCTCAGATATCTCCTGATGCAATCCAGCTGATTCCAACAGGTCAAGCATAGCTCTTCCATCAGTATCTTGGGAATTATCGACATGAATATTGAAGTCCCCACAAATGAACAGATGGTTGCTCAGCAAGTTAGCAGATTCTAGGAGTTTCAAAAATTCACCAAGGAATTTTCTGATGCTACCCCTAGACGGTGGCCTGTAGATGACAATCAGTGTAATTGGAACTTGGTATGTAGAGAGCATCTTAACTTCCAGACATTAAAATGTCTCAAAGGTATAGGCTTTAGTTTTAGTGCTGTATTGGTTTTTCACCATGACGCAAATTCCTCCGCCTCTTTTCCCTTTTCTTGGCAGCTTCAGAAGATAATGTTCACGTAGCGTACTCCTAATATCAGCTAAAGCAGGTCCATCCTAGCTTCAGTAATAGCGAGGATGTCAATCTCTTCTGTAAGCACTAAGTCACAGACTTATGTAGGTTTATTCATCATGGAATGTACATTCCGCAGGCCACTTTTCACAGGATGTTTTGCTTTAGGCGGCATCCTGATGTGGTCCAGATGAATAATCTTTCTTGCAGAAGATCTTCTGCATTTGGGATTATGGTGGATAGACTTCCTTCCATTGGAAATGATCACTCGGATCTTCTTCTGAAGCTTCGTCCATGATCTCTTTCTTCGCCTGGTGGGTTTGGCTCAAGAGATCCCAAGGTCTTTTAAGTAATGGTACACGTCGGGAGGAACTCTGACTTTCTTTAGCTCTGCTTTAATCCTAGTCAGGTCTTCTGGACTTTACTGAGTGGTGTTTTGTTGTACACACATAATAACAGACTTGACTTGGCAATATGTTCCCCATAGTTTTTTTAGTGTAATTATGTGTAACCTACAAGCACCGAATCCATAACACGTTATTTATCAGTTAGTCATAGGTCTTTCTACACCTTCCTCTCTCTTTAACCTCCTCCAATGATACAAGGTATAGGAAAGGTAAGACAGTCTATAAAGTGAATGTCCAGATTCAATAGCCACATGTACAAGTACACCACTGTGTATTATGCGGTCAAGTTTGACCTTTTCTATAGCCAGTCAGTTAACAAAAGAAATTGCTGCAATGTCCAACAATAGGTGGCTGGTCGATCATGCATGCCTGTAGTAACATGGAGGTTTAAGAAGCAATCTCAACCTGTATTTCCATGTAAAACTTTCCCAACTACTGCTGCTCAGTCCTGTAGATATGGAACTCCAAATGTGTCTAGTAGTGTCCTGGGAGCTATATAAACAGACTGCTATCAAAATATAAATGCATTTATCCCACAGTCAGTGTAAATGTCTCATGAATTGGAGAGCAGAAATTGAGTGCAACCACTATAGCGCCACATCACATCACTTTTTTTTTCGAAGCCATGTCAGTTTTGGTCATCTTTAAAGTACATGCAATTTTCGGTTCTAGAACACCTACCCCCTGGACAACCACCCTCCTGATAACCACTCCTAGGATAACCACCCTCTAGGACAACTACCCCCTAGGACAACCACCCCTAGGACCAGGACAACTACCCCCATAAAATACACCAGACAGCTCCCCCCTACGATAACCAACCTCTATTACAACTACCCCCGGATAACTAACCCCCAGACAACTACCCCCTATGACCACCCTCTAGGACAACCACCCCCGATTGATAATTACCCCATATTGCTCCGATTGTCTCATTTTCGCTCGCGTGAACATTGCCAGCACAAACCACTGACCTTTACCTCCTGAACGGATCATCGCACATTCCCATTCACTATACGTTACGTACTAAAAGGCTGTATTGTCTGACCGTTCATGAATATTCATGTTTTTGCTAAACTCGGCAAAATGTTTGCTTTTACTAAATGGAAAAATTACGGTGGGGGGTTGGATGAAATGGACATAATGAAATAGGCAGAAGTGATCTATGATAATTCATGCTTTTTATGTTTCGTGTGCTCGACCTATAATCTTCAAATCGCTTGGTAAACTGAGTCCAAAGTTAGACTTGTTTCACATGTGTATTATAGGCAATGACGAGCTTGCAACCTATTTTGAAAAATTACGGTGGGTGAACTTTCAAAAGTCAATGAGACATGAGGGCTCCAATGAAAGAGCTAGTGATAACGTACGTCGGGGTGGATGTGCTTTTCGTTTAAACAAAAAATGATTTAAAAAAAAAAAAAAAAATTAACGATTTTTTTAAAAAACGTCCATAGGCTAACATGTTAGGCTGCTGAATCTGACCATGCTCTGACGATAGGGGGCGTTGTGAAATGAGACTAAACGGAGCCATATGTAAGTGGTTATTATCCGGGAGTAGGTGGTAGATGTCAAGGGGGTATATGTCCTAGAGGGCGGTTGCCCTAGAGGTAGTTATCTGGGGGTACTTGTCCTGAAGGATGGTTATCCTAGGGGTAATGGTGTGGGGGTAGTTGTCTGGGGCCAGTTGTCCTAGAGGATGGTTGTCCTAGGGGGTAGTTGTCTGGGGAAAGTTGTCCTAGAGGGTGGTTGTCCTAGGGAGTAGTTGTTTGGAGGGTAGTTGTCATAGAGCGTGTTTTTCCTAGGGGTGATTATCCGGGGAAGGTTGTCCAAGGGTTAGGTTTCCGGATACGATTCTCAACATCCTACTACTAAAAACCATGAGTTCAAACAACTTACATGCAAGGTGTATAATAGGTATTATTTATATATATTTGCATATCCATCATAATTGTCTTTTTAACTATTTATGATACAAAGTATATTTGTGACACCATAACACAAAGCCACCAAAAAGTAAGATTTAATAAAGGTGTATTTGGTCAGGACGATCATATACTTTTTTCTAAGTAATTTCAAAATTTGGAAGCAAAATAATTATTTAAAACTGGTATTTTGGCTGTATTTTGTGGACCATGTCTTCCTAACTTTGAGTTTTTTTTAGCAGTTTTAGTTTGTTACAAGTACAACCCTTGCTACTGGTCTCATTTCGATCTCAAATAACTTTAAAACATTAAGATATGACATTGATGCCATGAAAATAATGAAAAGTACGTGATTAGTTAGTGTGCCAAGTTTGAGGACAATTTAATTATTCCTTCTAAATATCTATAGAGGTGTACTACTCCTTTTTCACCTTGCACATGACATTGGAAGTCAAAGTGCTAAATAGACAACAGACTTTAAACACATCTTTCTCTAAACCATCTTCCTTTATTGAACTTTTTTGATTGAGTTAGGGTTATATTGATGAGTAATATATCATGATAAAGATAACAATCTCTTCTTTCAGGATCAACCCTAAGCTACAAAGTCTTTTCTGGCATCTTTATGGCGTTTTTGTGGTGCGGGGTGACATGTGTCCTTTAAATGTAATTTATTATTATTTTTTAAAAAATCGTTCCATTATATTTCATCAAAGCTCAGTAATTTGTTTTGTTATTAATCATTTTGGTAATGCTTCCTTGCTGGCCGTTGCAGTAAAATGTATTTGTTCTTATCCTTTATTTCCTGTTTACAGTGCTGCTGATCTGTACATACGAGATTATCTTCATGGATTCTGTAAAGATTGTCCTGATATTTGGATGGTGCGTGTGTACACAACAATGCGGAAAAAAAGCACGGTTAGAGATCCAGTGAAGCAATACATGCTCATCGATGCTGCAGGACCTCGTTTGCCAACCGAAGAGGAATGTCAAGGTAAAACCTGCAATTTTGGTCACCGAGTTTCAAGGTCAGCCTGTCTGTAGGAGCCGGGATTACTGGATGACAGTGGTCTTGATGTAGAGATTGGGTTTGAATCCCTGCGATAACAATAACACTCTTTGGAAAGACCTTAACCTAGTACATTTGACACTCTATACCCAGTTAAAGTGAATAAATGGGTACCCGGTCTAAAGTTATTCCTTGAATGCTTGATCAACATTTCATGCAGGGTAGCTTGGTTAAAGCCTAGTTATAATCGCTATTATCATCATTTGGAAATTTGTATTAATGCTACTTTATTTTAACTACCAGTATTACTGTTAATGGATTTTTGTTCTTGTATAGTTGAGTATTCCAAAGAACCAATTTGCATATCTTTGATAAATGATATTATCATATTCCCATAATGATAGCTCTTTACAAACCAGATTAATATTTTGAATTATTGACCCATCTGTTTTCAGACTGGGTCTCCAGAAAGGGGCCCAGTATAGTTGTAGTCACTCTGAGTACAGCGGTGCACCTCACCAAAACAGCTACACTGCGTGGATACTTCTCTCATATTGTGATAGACGAAGCCGGGCAAGCCCTAGAGACGGAGGCCATCATTCCGCTAGCCCTAGCAACAGAAGATACAAGTGTTGTGCTGGCTGGCGATCCGAAACAGATGAGCCCACAGGTAAAGTACAAGTCTAATATGCGGAAACTAGACTGTAAATTATCATACTGTGAATTTCATAAATAAATGGCTCAATTTAATTGGAGGGGTTTCGTGTATTAAAAGCATAGGTCACCAATGATCTATTGATTGTCTTGATCTAAGAATCAAAACATGAGCACCGATCAACTATGGAGATTTCTTCCAAAATTGCAGGTGCACTCTCCCCGCACGATGGAGGCCAAGTTCAACATGTCCCTGCTGCAGCGTCTTTTCAAATATGACAAACAGAATTACTGTAACGCCAGCTGCAACCTCACCATCAACTACAGGAGCTGCCAACCCATCCTAGACTTCTTGAAGGTGCACTATGGCACAGCTTTCATATCAAAGAGCACCAGCAGTGAAAATCCCAACCTCTTTCCACTAAACTTTGTGGACGTGAGGGGGGAAGAAAAGCTTGTCGGGACATCATACATGAATGCAGAGGAAGCAAGGATAATAGCAGAATGCGTCGCTTCGTTGATAAAGCACTGGCCTGTAGTGTGGGATAGAGCCAAACAGAGTGACGTTGTGGTACTATCACCTTACAGAGTTCAGGTAAGTGTCCTTTTGTTTTATTAGTATTAATCAAAGCATGACATTTACTCCATTGATATGACATTAAAGGAAATCGGTTTATCATGTGTACATGGACATTGGCTTGAAAGCAGTAAGGTGTTTAATAGTTTAAATGTTATGGTACAATATTGTTGTAGTTCTATCACCTGTATACAAAGTTCTAATAAGTGTCCTCTTTGAGAATCGGTGCTCAAAGTTCACTGATTTGACATGATGTTGATAGCCGGTATTTGCTTTGAAGTTTGTTGATTATAATGTTGTGTATCTGTAAAGCACGTTGAGCCATTGTGGATGTATAGCTATATAGATCAAAAATAGTTTCCTTATTCAGGCATACCAAATACCCTGTGTTGATTTCATCTTATTTTCTTTAAAATATACAGAAGCGAAAGAAGAAAAAACAAATCAATAATCAATGTTGCCTTCTTTGCCTTAAAACCCCAGCCAACAAATTTGAAGTTTAAAGGTTGACAAATTCTACATATAGGTAATCACGCCTATCACGGGCATTTTAGAAGTTAAGTTTGTTTAGTTTTTTCTCCATTCTTTTTCTTCTTCTTTCACAAGGTTACGCAAGGTTTATTATATATATATATGGGGCCAGTCACCACGAAATGAGTCCAGTGTCGCATTAGGCTCAATCGTAGTAATAGCGATGTATAGTGTGTATGTACTGAAAATTGACCCACCTACCACATTTAAGATTTTTCCAAAAATCGACTTATTAATGTCTTGTAGTTTATGTCCCTAGAGCTTAGGTCACGAAAATATCTCCTTCTAACATTTGTTGGCAAATAATATAGGCTATGTTACGCATCATTAACTTTACACCTAATTATCTCAAAACTGGGTAATCCCATTGTTTATAAAGTCCAATTAGGTTTTTGTTCATATTTCTGGATATAATTTATCAATTTTAATGTGTGACCCCTTAATTTAAAGCTTACTTAATGTAGATTCATATAATACTTAAAAACAGGAATAAAATTTTTGACCAACTGGACTCATTTCGTGGTGACAGGCCCCATATATATATATATATATTTTTTTTTTTTTTTTTTTTTTTTTTTTTTTTGGGGGGGGGGGGTATTTTAACCAGTTTATTTATAAAAAAAAATATAGCACACCTTTACCGGTAAATATTCAAGATTTAGCCTGTTTGGTTTACTTTTTTTTTGTAGTTTGGTCTTAAAAGGATTTTTTTTTGCCTTTTTTGATAGGTCGAGGTAATCCGACAGGAGATGAGGAAGAGAAGCCTACACGCTGTGACGGTTGAGACAGTGCAGAATGTGCAAGGTAATTTTCCGAAGATACTCTGCTGAACTTGTTGAGCTAAAGTATGATACGTAAAGGTGTCTGACTGAATAGTAGGCTTGAGTCGAAACGGTTCCCCGCTTGCGTTTTCGACCGTCACGATAAAACCCTGGTTTGAATTTCATATATTTTGGGTATTTCAAAATTTAATTTCATACTGATGTTTTGGCGATACAGAACTTAAAATCAACAAACTGAATATACACTCACAAAATAGTGGCTTACCAAAAATGTGATCATGAAGGAAAATGAATTAAAGCAATCAGAGCCCCCCCCCCCCACTCCGGGAACGACGGAGAGACCGCAATCATGTTCCCCAAATCTAAAATTAAGGGATACTTTTTACGCAAAAATGTCAAGCTCGTAATACACACAAAAAAAATATCGGCCCTTTGGACTTTACACTTTGGATACACGGATGGCGCGCCATATGCCCAATAACCCCGAAAAACATTGTTTATCACCGATAAACAAGGTTTATCGACGAAAAACAAGGTTTATCGTGAGAAACTCTGTATATCGACTGATAAACACAGTTTCCCTCGATAAACAAGGTTTATCGACGATAAACAAGGTTTATCGAAAAACAAGGTTTATCGAAAAACACGGTTATTCGTATTTCGTCAGGAGTGGGCGCTTTTTAAAGTTGCACCCAGCTCAGAGCACTGCTCCGCACGTGCGCTTTACACTGTAGAATATACCAACACCGTAACACTTGCTCGCGCTCATGACCACGATCGACATTTTCTGAGTGGAGGTATGGCGAAGTATTCTTAATTCCAGGCTTTTTTCCCAATTTTTGAAATGTTATGTTGATATATCTCTCTCTAGCCCTCTCTCTCTTTCAAACTTTCTAGGTTTTCCCCTTTTCTTATCTCTCTCACTCTCCCCCATTCTTTCTCTCACTCTCTCTTTCTCCTACCCTCTCAATATAACCCTTCTGTCTCTCCCTCTCTTTCTTCTAATTCTCTCTTTCCCTTTCTCTTTCCTTTTTCTTTCTCTGCACTCCCTCTCTGCCTACTCCCCTTATATCTATTTCCCCCGGTATGAGAAATAGGGTAGAGTAGATGGTTGGAGAGAAAGGAGAGATACAATCAGATAAAGGACAGATAGGGTAGAGATGGATAGATGGAGATAGAGGACAGATAGAGGGGAGATAGAGGAGAGATAGATCAGGAATAGATGGATGGAGATAGATTGAGAGATAGAGGAGAGTTAGGGTAGAGATAGATGGATGGAGAGATAGAGGAGAGATGAATGAGAAATAGAGGAGAGATAGAGCAGGGAAAGATAGATGGAGATAAAGGAGATAAAGAGCAGGGTAGATGGATGGAGAGAGAGGAGAGATAAAGGAGAGATAGAGGAGAGATAGAGGAGAGATATCGATCTATCCCCGCTCTATCTCTCCTCTATCTCTCCTTTATATATATACCTCTCTCTCTCTCTCTCCATCTATATCCATCCATCTATCCCTGCTCTATCTCTCCTCTATCTCCTCCATCTCTCATTTATATCTCCTCTCTCTCCATCCATCTATCTCTACCCTATATCTCCTCTTTCTCTATCCTTTTCTCTCCATTCATCTATCTCTACCCTTTCTCTCCTTTATCTCTCCTCTAATATTCACCATCCATCTTTCACTGCTCTATCTGTCCTCTCTCTCTCTATCTTTATCCATCTACCTTTAAAATATCTCTCCTCTATCTCTCCTCTCTCTCTCATTTATCTCTCCTCTCTCTCCAACCATCTATCTCTACCCTATTTCTCATACCGGGGGAAATAGATAAAAGGGGAGATGGCAGAGAGGGAGTGCAGAGAAAGAAAAAGGAAAGAGAAAGGAAAAGAGAGAATTAGAAGAAAGAGAGGGAAAGACAGAAGGGTTATATTGAGAGGGTAGGAGAAAGAGAGAGTGAGAGAAAGAAAGGGGGAGAGTGAGAGAGATAAGAGAAGGGGAAAACCTAGAAAGTTTGAAAGAGAGAGAGGGCTAGAGAGAGATATATCAACACAATTGGGAAAAAAGCCTGGAATTAAGAATACTTCGCCATACCTCCACTCAGAAAATGTCGATCGTGGTCATGAGCGCGAGCAAGTGTTACGGTGTTGGTATATTCTACAGTGTAAAGCGCACGTGCGGAGCAGTGCTCTGAGCTGGGTGCAACTTTAAAAAGCGCCCACTCCTGACGAAATACGAATAACCGTGTTTTTCGATAAACCTTGTTTTTCGATAAACCTTGTTTATCGTCGATAAACCTTGTTTATCGTCGATAAACATTGTTTATCGAGGGAAACTGTGTTTATCAGTCAATATACAGAGTTTCTCACGATAAACAAGGTTTATCGCTCGATAAACCTTGTTTTTCGTCGATAAACCTTGTTTATCGGCGATAAACAATGTTTTTCGGGGTTATTGGGCATATGGCGCGCCATATACGCGTACCCTAAATAACACTGAGTGGGGGCCCGGACTCAGAGCCACATAGATGTGCCTTTCAGTAGTTCAACAAAATGCATACATGTATATCTCAGGCTTTATGAGCTAGGCTAAAGTGAGAGTGTGTCATGCTCAATGTGCATGAATACAGCCCTACAATGCCATGCACGCAGACAAAGGCCAAGTGATTGGGATCAATGAGCTTTAAATTTAAGTATACTATTACTATAAACCAACATGTTTGCTTTTTACAAACAATACTATAGACATCCATAGTATCTCACAGAAATATTGATTTTCTGAAGTTACTAATGCATTAAATATCATGTTCAGCTAGCCATATTATGTGGCCTTGAGCTATTGTCACAACTTAGAGTGGCGACGGACCGATTTGTAGCCTGCTCGGTCCACGCTGGAAGTTAGGCATCGCCAAGAGATTTTTAAACAAGTCAGGCAGGCTGTAGAGCATCAGCGATGCCTGGGCGGTGCGCTGTCGATTTTCCGTCGGTCGCCTGTCAGAAGTTGGTCAAATCGGGGTGCTTCTACGGGCAGCGTCCCGGCAGTGACCGACGGACGACCCACCGATTCCCCAGCGGTCTCCACCCGGCCATCGGCTGATTTTAAAGAAATTGCCCGGAGGCCGGCCGATGATCGGTGGGGCACCAAAATACGCTCGGTGCCCGGGCGGTCGCCGCCTGGGCACCGACTTAATCGAGCGTTCGCCGTCGAGCGATATAGGTCAACAATCAAAGCTGCGAGGTCAAAGGCTGCAGACCGATTTTGAACTAGCCGCCCAGTGACTGACTGATCTCCCAGCGACGACCGGGCAGCGACTGGGCGGCGACCGCTCGGCAGCCTTTGACCTAGCGGCCTCGATTTTTGACCTAAATCGCTCGACGGCGATTGCTCGATTAAGTCAGCGCCCAGGCGGCGACCGCCCGGGCACCGAGCATATTTTAGGCGGCGAGTGAAAAGTAAGCAGGCGCTGAATTTTAACTCCGCGCTAAAATTTTAGCGGCGACCGAGCGATGCCCTTAAAACAAGCGCCCGTGCGAAATGGTTAAAACTACGCCGCCCTGCCGCCGAGCAGGCTACTTTTGGGGCTGTGATCATAGCTTTAGGACCACAAATGTATTCCTCTCTGCTGTCATATGCTGACTATTGCAGGACAATATCTCATATCACAATTTTGGCTAGCTAAACGATAAATTATTATTCCTGTTCTGCAAAATCCGTAATGACTCAGGCCTACTAGATACTTATGAAAGTCTTGGCAATACATGAGCATGTATGAAGGGTGTCAATACGTTAAAACTATCCCCTATTCTGAATAAAAAATAGTGTGAACAGAGGATGTGTTTATGGGCAATTATTATCAATTGAATGTACGATTTCATTATTTAACATTCCACGTCATGGAGCTCTCTGCACCACTATGTTGAAAATGTGTGCAAATGTAAAACTTTAACAATTTATGAGTCCAATGTAAATTTCGATAAAAAGTTGTTCTTATTGGCTGAATCTAATCAATGGGAAGCTTAAATGTATTTCAGACATATTTTTCTCGCTCGTAAAGTGTATAAGTATTTAGTTTATAAGTTATATATAGTCACAAAATATATTTTCATGTTTGATCCACTTTGTACAGGGAAGCAGTATCGCGCTGTCTTTTTGAGCACTGTGAGAACGAGATCCTCGTTAAATAAGATAGACACCACGTCCCTTCCCGAAGTAGGTGACCGAAATGTGGGAAACAAGTTCTGGTATGGATTCCTTTCAGACAAAGGGCTTCTGAACACAGCTTTTACCCGTGCACAGTCTCTCATAACTGTCATGGGTGATCCTGTAGCAATCTGTTCAGCAGGGGAATGCCAGAAGACATGGCAGAGGTACATCATGACATGCGAGAGGAATGATGCCATCCATAGCAAACAAGGCCTAACGATGGCTGCTATCCAGAATGAGATTGCAAATGCCAAACGTCTGCTCAACCCTAGTGCAAAAGCATTCGTTCCAAGAGATTCCGCTCACAGTACAGCCGTCAGAGGAACCCCTCACATTGTAACTGCAAGACCTACAGTCAGTAGAGCAATTGAAGTACCAAGTTGCTCTCCGAGGACTGGAAAGCAACATAGAAGTGCCAGTGAATACCCTGTATCTGGTGCTGGTGTTGCTGCGTCTGCAGTTGATGATGATGAAGACGAGGAGGAGGAGGACTTGCGTGTTGATGAATGGCTTCAAGAACTGAAGATTCAAGTGGATGAGGACATGGCTGAGGAGTATAGGAGATTACATCCAGAGGTGTCGGCCGAAGATCAAGGGGAAGAGGCTGCATCAGAACAAGAATCTGATGGCCGAGTTGCTGCCATTGAGCAGGAACAGAGCAAATCAGCCATACATATTCAGGAACTAGAAGCTAGAGTAAGATTACAGACAGCACAAAGAGGGGAAACTACACCATCTGCGTCAAGAGCTACTGTACCAGTACCAAGTGTCACAAACCGTACGAATAAACATGTGCTACAAAACCTACGCATGGTGGAGAGAGAAGGTCGTGTTGCTTTTCTACAAGATGATTCATATGATTCACATGATCCAAATTATGTAAGTGTGGATACCTCTTGTGAGGCACAAGAGACTGATGTTGAAGAACTTCGTCGCAAAGCTCTTCAAAGCCCTGACATGTACAAGGTCTGTATCTTCCGCCAAGAAATCACTGGACGTGCATATGCTGTCCCCCAAAACAGACAGTCAGGAGATGAAATACCCATCATGAATGTAAAGCGTCGAGGACATGCCCTCAACAGTGATAAGGTTCTTATAGAGGTCTTAAAAAATGAGGATGAGCAAGAAGTTGAAGAAGATAATGATGCCGAACAAGAAATAAAGATCTCTGGAAGGGTAGTAGGCATCATTGAACACAATGCTAATCTCAAGTTACAAGAGTTTGTGTGCCACATTGATCCTCAGAATGATAATGTTATGGTGCCTATTGACCGTTCGTCTCCTAAGATATCTATCCTGGGAGGGGAAAAAAGATGCGCTTCAAAGAATAATGCAGCTGTCGTTACACTGCATGAGACACAAACACGAACTGAATGCAGCCCTAAAAATGTAGAGGTTACACACGCGGAGAGAAATCATAAACTCTTTGTTGTTCGCTATCTCGAGTGGCCCCCAAAGGCTCCATATCCACTGGGAGAAGCTGTTAAAGAGTTGGATCATGGCGATACAGAACGAAAGGGGCTTAACATCCTTCAACTTGTGCATGGCATCAGAACTCAATGTGAGCCAGCTGCAAGAGAACAAATGCTGCAAGATTTCCCTGAAGGATGGAGTCTTCCAGATAAAGCTGTTCAGAAAAGAGAAGATTTCCGAACGACAAAGACCATCTTCACTGTGGATCCTCCTGGGTCTACAGACTTGGATGATGCCATCAGCTGTGACTGTCTACCTGGACAGCGCTATGAAGTTGGTGTACACATTGTAGATGCGTCCTACTTCATTCAACAGGACAGTTCAATGGATAAAGATGCCTACAAGAGGGGTACAACATTCTACCATCCATTCCAAAGTGATGCTTATCATATGCTGCCAAAGGATGTAATCTCAAGGCTTCTAAGCTTGCTCCCGGAACAGGATAGACTTGCATTGTCAGTCATTTTCACTCTTGATCATGAAGGGCAGATCGTTGCAGAGCCTATGTTTAGAAGGTCCGTGATTCGATCATGTCAGAGACTTACCTATGACGAGGCAGAGAAGTTGATTGTTGACAGCAGCAATACTTGTAATCCATACATGCGTGTTGCAGAACCTATTAGATACTTACATGAGCTGTCAAAACATCGCCGAAAGCAGCGATCGGGAGATGGACAGATGGTATACAATGCTGATGACGATGATGGAGGGGCACTTTCTTATCCACATGCCCACAGCGTAATCGAAGAGCTGATGCTGATGACCAATAATGCTGTTGCTGAACAAGTTCTTACCAGGTTTCCTGAGTGTACACCACTTCGCAGGCAACTTGCCCCATCGCAAGAAAAGGTGAAGACATGGAAAGAAAGTCATGGCAAGACTGCAAGAAACAGTATTCGTCTTCTTGAACTTGTGAATCCTAATCACAATGATGCAGTTCATGGAGGCCAAGAAGAAGATCAAGGTGGAGAAGACGTCCTAGTTGCTGCAGAAGTATGGCAGAAGGTCAAAGAATGCTGTGAATCAAAAAATGCATCGAGAAGTCATATGGAGGATATGGCTAATCTCATACTTCAAGATGAAAACCATCCACATCATGCAGTGGCTCAGTCTAACCTCTACGCCATCATGGAATCTGCAGAATACGTCGTATCAACAAGCGAAACCACGCCAGAAAAGCAAGAACACTATTCTCTGCAGATGAGAGCATATACTCAATTCACCTCACCCATCAGACGTTACATTGACCTTGTTGTGCATAGGATGCTTGTTGCTTGCATGGAGAATAGCAAATGCCCTTACACTGCTGAGGAGATGGCTGAGATCACCCATCATTACAACAAGCAACATACCAAAAGTAAGCGCTTCGGCATAGCCACAAAAGAGCTGAAGTTGGCTCTGAAGCTCAAGGAAGCTCCTCTTCAGGTTACAACTTTTGTGGAAGGGATCACTGAGTCATCTATGAAATTGCTTATCCCGTATCGTAGATACATCCAATCTAGGCGGAGAGAAATTCCCTTTAGTGTTCTGAAGCCCTCCGAGAAACCAGTAGTAAATAAAGGTTTCACAGATGTTCAAGTTACATGGAAGTGTAGCATGTATGACTACAGCAGGAAATGCCAAGCAGAATCACCAGCCAGCACTAGAGTCACATATTCAGACGTTCCTGTCACAATTCCAGAGGACAAATGGCAAGAGATCCTGCAATCGATCAAGAGTATGTATAGGGATGGAAACTTAGAGGAAGTTCGGACTGCCATTGAGACAGCACTGATCCATGCACAAGGTAGCGAGAACCCCTTCTCACAGAGGAGAGGAAATCAGGATGACAGGTCAGAACAGAGGGAAGCGGGAGCTATGCGTTTCCAACGAAGCTACAAGTTGGGTGATCCCTGCAGGGTCCAAATGCATGCACAGATGATGAAGGGTATGCTTACTCCAAAAGTACAACTCTTCAACATGACTCATCACTTGGATATTTGTGCAGAGCATCGATCACAACCCATTCAGTGCTTCTCAAGGATAGCCACTGACATTCCAGACATAGAGGAAAACATTACAGCATACAAGTCAAAATGGCTTCAAATCCTGTCTATGATCTCCTGCCACAACGCAGTCAGCGATGATGACACCATCATTATACAGAATGTGCCAATCACATGGCAGAAAACTTCAAGTGAGTTCACAGGTCACTTTCAGTTAGATAAGAATTTCCTTGAAGTGAACCACATACAGATCTGGGGAACAAGAGAAGGAATGAAGAGCAATTATGATTACCTGTGCATACACCTGGTCAATCTTGACGTGGAAACCAAGCCTTTGCCACAGATCAAGGGGTGTGATAACCGAGAACGTAGACATCATGTAGGTCCATTCAATGCTAAGGACTGGGAGAAGCAAACGTGTGTTCTCCATTGCAGGATATTGAAAGGCGAGGATTCTCAGGATTGTCGCACATGCCAACGGCTCCTTCGTACAAATTCAAAGTCACTTCCAGTCCACTTTGTAGTGCATCAGAAATCCGTGCCACTTCCAAAAGGGAGTAATGATCACCATGTTGCAAGTACTGTGGAATTCATTTCGAAACCAGAGCCAAACAGGTAAGTCTACTCAATGCTCAATATAAACATATTTAGGCCATTATTTCGCTTCATTCGGATATGACGCGGTAAATAACGTTATTGTTCCTTGTTACAAAGAGCTTAGTAGATACCTGTAAGGCATTTTTTGTGCGCAATTGCCATTCACTTACAGGTTGTAAAAATGAACGAGCCTTTAATCGCACATAACATCCAAAGCATAAACATAACAAAGTGGAAGAGAAGAGCAATTTCCATTAGTTGCATTATCTCTTATAAATATTGTTATTGTTCCTCTCTACAACCGATGAGCAGTCAATGTTTGAATAGTTTGTCTTTGAAAGAGGATCATCTAATGGAAAATTATTTTTGTCATTTACATTTAATGTTGTTGAATTGTAGGGTTGAGAAATGACAGTATTACCAGGCTCCGATATCCTCAGGTGTTTTAGGTACACATGGCCGATTATGATGAGAAATTATAGTAAATTAATGATGCATGTGAAACGATTTGAGTAAAAAACAAACAAAACAAAACTGAACAAGTCGTCCCTTCCATGTACTTTAATAGCACTTGAATATGGTCCCATATGATTGTTGATACCTTCAGTGACTAGATTTTCCATTACATTTTTATTATTTTGTTAACATTTTTACTGGGCAAATAAGCAAATGGTATAAAGTGCTTGCTAGTACCAAGAAATTCAAAACTTAATATAATTATTTCCATTTCTTTCCCAAATAGCTGCATTAAACAGAGCACGATGATTGGCCTTTAAAGGGCAAGTCCACTCCAAAATAACTTACTTTCAATAAAAGCAGAAAAATCAGACGAACCAATCAAAACAAGTTGAAGCAAAATCGGATAACTAATAAGAAAGTTTTGAATTGTTGATGACATTAAATCACAA